ATTAATTTCCTGGAAAAAGGTGTAGTTACCCGGAAAGCAGCCTGTTTGTTGATATACAAATTCATAAACTATATAAAAAATTTCTAGCAGTGGTGATGTAGGATATTTCTTGTACTGTGGGCCAGGGTCATACTCTTGCACAGCTGAAGAATGGAGACATGGATCAGAGAGGTAGAGTTTGTAGCAGAGGATAGTTTTATTAAAGCAAGAGAAAGGTTACAGCTCCTGAGCAGGAGGGGGTACCTCGAACTGGAATGCCCACTAGCTAAGGTAAAAGGCTGGAGTTTTAAAATTTTTCTTTCTGCGTGGGAGGGGGAATGTTGGAGTATTAGCATTTTTTGTTAAGGTGTTTTATCAGATTTGTTCTGTTGCTTAGTCTTGGGAAGGCCTCTCGTAATGTTGTCCAAAATGTTTTTGTTGCCCTGGTGTATGATTGATGTTCCAACAAGGAAAGTTATCTCATAACTTTGGGGAAAAAATGGCTAGTGTAAGAAATGGTCAGTTTTTTATCTTTTGCTCAGTCTACCTGGGAATTCCTGACTGCCTGATGTTATACTAACTAACCTGTCTTAGTGGTACCATATTGAAGTAGAATAATAAGACAGGCTTTTAAAATGTAAACATCTGTTTTTTGGGGTTCCATCATCTGATTTACAACACTAGCCCAATTCCTTCCAGTGTGAAAGTGGCATCAACAATTCACTATTTTGTCTTCTGTTCCAAAGCGCCACAGGATCAACTGCTCTGTTTAGAGCCTGTTTGGACTGCTGAGGATCAGAGCTGTCAATGAAGCGAGACTCATTAGTTTTGGAAAGCTTTCAATTAGCCACACGGCTGTAATTAACTTTCTCACTATAATTTTCAGCTTTTCATGCTAAACGAGGGGTGATGGAGTGGAGCATCTGTCTCTGTGTCTCCCACTTATCTGGATCCAAACCAAATCGAAATTCTAGATGAGAAAATAGATACTGTCCATCCCTCCATTGTTACCGTGATGTTGGCACATAGGCCCGTCAAGGACACATGTCTGTTACTTGACAGGTGATTTGCATCAAGGTTTTCTTTGTTCTCTCCATGGTGTCACTGTCATATCTTTTATCAGTAGGACTGACTGTCCATCCCTTTTTGCCTGGGACAGTCTAGTTGACTTCCGTTGTCTGAGATGAATAATTAATGGTGTCCCTGTCACTATCAAAAGTGTGTGCTTTGGGCAAAAATTATATGGGTGCCCTATTCTTCGGTGAAGAGAATTCAGTTGGTCTTTTAAAATAAGTATCCTATTTTTTTCCTAAACAAATGTTGTTTTAATGTATTTTTTCTGTTTTTGAAAGCAATCCATACGTATCTTTAAAAATTTAAACATTACAGAAAGGTAAGGAGAAAGTGAAAGTTTCTTAAGAGAATTTCTGAGTTTATCTCTTCTAAAAATAATTGTAAAGTATTTTGAATACAACAAGTATCTTCTAATGGTTGCATAGCAATAGGTTTTGCTTTTGAAAAATGAGAATCGTGGAGCCTGGAAGAAAATTCCACATTTTTTTCTAGACTCAGAACCATGGTCCCAAAATGAAATCTTACGCAGAAAACTAAGCCACAAACAAGGAACCAGGGATTGGCTCTGGTGGAATTGAAGTTGGGCTCTGGAAACCCTTTCCAGCCTCCTCCTCGCTTCCTGAGGGGTCCCTCCGTGGCAGAAAATCCTTTTGACTCCTTGGAGCACAGTTGGAAGACTAGTTTCCAGAGGAGAATCACAAGAGATAATATGTGAAAGTAGTTTTTTTCATGGTAAAGTTTCCTAAAAATATCAGGTTTTCCTGTTACTATGAATGCATTCGGGTGGAGGGAAATGACTTGAGTTCACACAGTTAGTTGGTAGCAGAACCTGAGTGAGAAACCAGGTTCCCACATCTCCATGGTGCTTTTTTATTTCACCCATATGCCTCCTTCCAATGGCTTTTCTTTATCCACATTCGTATTCAAATGCCTGATTCATCACTTAGTATTGTAGTATATTTGTTTTATTTTTAGCTTCTAGTTATGCATGATTGTATTTTTGTGTTCTAGATATCATTTTACTATTTATAACATACTATTTTTATAACAGTTCTTTTTAAAATGTACTATTACCTTTTACATTTTACTAATGTGAGACTTTTTATTTGGTTTTGGTGAATTATGATAAAATGGGAAGATCTTGTTTAGGCAGTTGATATCTTAATAAAGAGCATAAACTCTCTATTTTTATATTTTAACTAAGTAGCAGATATGTGGAAGCCTAAAATTAAGTATATGTTATATTTCAATCTAATTAGATATAATATGTATGGAAAATGATTCAAGTGCTGATATTTAGATACCTACAGTAATAATAAAATGTCTCCTTTTTATAATACATGAAGCTCACTAAGTGCTTTCATGTATATTACATCATTTATGGATAATTTATGATTTATGTATCCTTATATACACTGCCACTTTTGCACTGTGGTTTAGAAATACTAAGTGACTTGCATCAAGTCACAAAGCTAATTAATTGGGAGAAGTAACAGTTTAACTCTTCTTCCTGACTTTCAAGCAGGTCGAAGCTATTGTATAAGGCCGTGCTGGTTATGCAGTGTGCTGTGCCCCATTCACAGAGATAATTGTGTGAATGGTAAATCCAAGAATTGAGCAGTGCACAACCCCCTCAATGGTACATGACCCTGCCAATACCCCTTCCAATGCAACGTTTCTTTCTCTGCCTTGTTGGGGAAATGGGCACGTGCAATCCAATATAGCAGATGTGGTAAATGCTACTTACAGTGTAATCTAAGCATTGTGGGGCCCAGTGGAGGAGAGGTTTAGTTTCTTTAGAGGATTATAGAAATCAGTGTAATGAAAAAGTGGACCATTACCTGGGGCAACTTAATATTGATACTAATTTTTAGGAATTATAGAGGCTGAATTGTATGTTAAGCAATTAATCCAGAAAATTGAGTTGCCCTAGTTTTAGGGCTCCTAGTGCTAGAATCTTAGCATTTATGTTTGGATGTGTTGAATTTGTGATGCTGTGGATCATTCCACGTGGGGAAGTCCAGTTGGAGATGCTAGTCCAAGGATACGGTTTTCCCAAATATTCCCAAGTAGATGAGTGATGGAGTTGGACACGCAATTACTGTGTTTCTGGTCTTCAGGAGCTCTCACCAAACTTCAGAATTCATTAGGTAACTATTTCTAAAACGAGAAAGAAGTCTCAGCTCCAGGTTCACAAGCGATTTGATTTTTCTTCCTTTGTTTTGTTTTCCTCAGCTTAGTTCTTTTACGACATATATAGCTTACTAATAATTTCCTACTGTTTCAAAGAAATTAGGGTCACAATGAAGGAGGAGAAAGTGCAGGTATGTGGCTTTGTTCCGAATTATCTCACCTCTCCCCCCTATGGCTTTTAGCTCTTGGAAGGTCCTCCCAAGACATAAAACCTTCATGTGCCTGTGAGTTCTCACTAATAGACAAGGGTCTGTCTAGAAGGCTCTAGTGCCGTAGGGAGGTGTCGGAGATTATTAATTGCCTATGCATTTAAATTCATTGAAAAGCAGAGCTAAATTTAGCCTAGCACATTACTTTAAACTGTTCGCTTTTATGTCAGGGAATTTGAAATTCTTTTTGCCATTGGACTGTTGTCATGGGGATTTGTTTTGTAATTGAATGAGTTGTGATACATTTATATATCTTTCTGTTTAAAAATGGTGAAACATTTTCATACCTCTGGCTATTATTATTCATTCAAATGGTGGTGGAAACTTACAATTTGGAATTATCCAACTGTGAAGATGTCCAAGGACAGATGTATAGATTTTTGCTTCTATCTTGGCCTTATTTTGTGGTTTTGTCTTGGATTATTAAAGCAATTTTTAACTGGTTTGCTCTTCCTCATGAAATAAGAGAAAGCTTCTTTGGATAGGAGGGGAATGCTTTTCATGTCAGTATACCTCCACTTTCTCCTATATTTATACATTGTCTTTAACATGATTTAAAATCAAGGATCAGTCGATTCCTACAGTGGTGAGAATGATATGAGGTCTTTAAGACGGAGCTCCTGGAGCATGAGAGCCCATTCGGTTTTCTTTGCAGTGCCAGCTCTGGTTCCTCAGTGCCTACATTTTGAATGGTTGATTTCCAAACTGCATTGCACTACCATGGAAATGATTATATAGTCAAAGTCCGGAGCCCTTTCCCCATGTCCGCCTTAACCCTTCCAAAACTCCTTCCATTGCTTTGTTTTTATTGAGGTATAGTTGACATATGATATTGTATTAGTTTCATCAGTTTCAAAGTTCTTTTTCGTACTGCTAGGAAACTGTTTCTGTAGAGCACTGCGTAGTCTCCTCCTGTGCCATCTAAGCTGAGAATGTAGAAATGAGCGAGGAGACATGGGTGGGCGTTATTTTCCATTTCGTCTCGGGATGAGAAGTGATTCAATGTAATTGCCTCTGCTGCAAAGCAGTGGGTCTGGATGGCATCAGGCTACAGAAGCCAGTTGGCAGCCCCCTCAAAGGAGGGAGAGCAGCCTTTAGACTACGGCAGGCTGTGCAGCTCAGAGCACAGACCTAAGAAGCTCCTTGGATAGTAGCCCTGTTTAACTTTGTCCCTGGTTATAAGGAAACTTTCAGCTGGGCTGGGCCCTCTGAGTAGTGAGTGGGGTTCGGGGGTTAGAGGGTCAACAGCATAGGGACAATGACACAAAAGTAAATCTGTAGAAATAGACGGAAGCGTCTCCTTCCATTCAAAATTTACATTGATTAGAATTTCACTTACTCATAAGTTAAATCAGAATTTCAGAGGGTGTAAATGTTATCGAGATGATTTAGGTACTTCATGCCCTGCTTTCCATAATTAAGGGGAATTTTGGGGCTATTCAGAGTAGTTCCTGTCAACCCGAATGTTTCTAGATTTTAAAAATAATTGACCGTGTCTTAGGGGATATTTTCACAGATGTTTCTGTTGGCTTTCTTGTTTAACAGAGGACAATAGAGAGCTATGTGGATAAACGCATGGGCACAACATATGGCCCTCCCGCGGGAAAGAAGATGACTGTTTTTATTGATGACGTGAATATGCCAATAATCAATGAGTGGGGAGACCAGGTATATCGATCCTATTGTGCCCTTTCTTTCTTTAATTCGGCATTGATTTATTCTTTGATGAGTAAATATTTTTCTACTTTTCCCACATACAATTCCTGAATTCCGGTAAAGTCCATTATTTGGAATCACTCCAGGAGTTAGGCTCCGGGATATAAAGGAGTGATGTTTTAATCCTGAAAGTTGTCTTTCTTAGGTTACTAATGAGATAGTACGACAGCTGATGGAACAGAATGGCTTTTACAACCTAGAGAAGCCTGGGGAGTTTACCAGCATCGTGGACATCCAGGTTTTGGCAGCTATGATCCATCCTGGGGGTGGGCGCAATGATATACCCCAAAGACTCAAGAGGCAGTTCTCTATATTTAACTGCACGTTGCCATCTGATGCTTCCATGGACAAGATCTTTGGTAAGATGAGTGTTGAACATCTGCTTGTGTTCCAGTGGGAAGATATCCACCCAGGGGTCAACACGGAAGGAGCACTGGTGGGCTCCTTCATCTGTTTCCCTCATCACTCTCAAGCCGTGTGTTTTGTTTATATAAGGATTTATTATACACACACACTCAGTTGAGTACCTAGGCAGATCTTTCTCCCTATGTTTTTCTTTAGCTGTTACCAGCTTCTTAAGCAAGGAAGTTAAACATTAAAATAACGTGGAGATGGTGAGATCATTTCCTCATGGCTACACATATTGAGGTCTGGATTGATATAATATCATGCCAAAATTTTATATAGCTGATATTTCAGCCAGCCCATATAATGATTCTGGCCAAAGAAATATGCACAGAAAGAATTTCACATCGAGATTAGTCATAGTCTGATTTTCAGAGTAATTTATAGCACAATAAATTGATTGACTACATATATAGTATTTCAGGAATAATTTCATTGAGGAAACACTAGCCCAGTAAATGATCATAATTATTTAACTGAGTAATGAAAATGATTTATTTATAAATGATTTTAGAATTACTCTTTGCAGGAAAAGAGTGTAAAGTTATGTATGCATTTGTGTTAAGTAGTAATTTACAATTTCTGAAGCTGCCACTGAGAAAAAACTCATTAGGATTACCCTAATTAATTTCTGGCAGACTAAAATGTCATCTTAGCACCCTGGGCTAGCAGAGTATGGCAGCGTCTGCCTTCAATTGCAGTAGTGGGCAAAGGTTTGCAAACCAAATGACATGTGAATTATCTAAACTTGGGAAAAGTAAAATGGACCGGAAAGAATGACTATTTTCACTTTAAATTATCTTTTGCTTTTAACCTGGAAAGTTGTATATATAAGGTAAATTAAAATATTTTATAATACATGGAAAGGCAACAACAGAATGGAGAAGCCCTAGAGCATTCACGAAATGTCCCTTAAAAAAAACCCAAACCTTTTCATAAGGCAACTTTATATGTGTATCAGTTACCCATTTAGTAATATTGAATTAGTTCAGGTAGTTTCTGTAGTATTTCTTGATCAACTTTTTAGTATTTGAGTGCCTGCTTACTCGAACCTATATCTATTTTGTAGGTTTTAAGAAAACACAAGAGAACACTGATTAATATAAATTTCCTTAATATGTGGTTATCTGTTAAAATGTGTAATTATACGTGTGCAAACTGTGCATTATCATGGTGCTAGGAACATTCATTTAGTTGGTTGGACCTGTCAATCAAAATGTTCCGCCTTTTTTCCCCTTTCAGGTGTGATTGGGATAGGCTACTACTGTGCTCAGAGGGGTTTCTCAAAAGAAGTGAGAGATTCAGTGAGGAAACTGGTCCCGCTCACGCGCCGACTGTGGCAGGTGACTAAGGCTAAAATGCTCCCCACTCCTGCGAAATTCCATTACGTGTTTAATCTTCGAGATCTTTCTAGGATCTGGCAGGGGATGCTGAAGACGACTTCGGAGGTCATCAAGAAACCAGACGTAAGTAATACATAAGAAAGAAAAACAAATAGCACTGTCATTGACCATATATCCTCAATATTCCTCGTAATGTAATTTTTTGTGGAATTATGAAAATATTTCGAGATGTTTTAGCATTGATATTCTTTTATTTCCTGCTTTTAAGCTAGTGTACATAAGGAAATTTAAGTCAGAAAATTTCATTACAAAATTCTAATTAAATTAGATTTATGTTTAAGGAAATAGTCCACACAGCTATTTTCTATTAATAGAATAAAAGAAACAATTGGTTTTATTCTCCCATCGTAAGGTATTTTTCTTATACTAAAAATGAAAAGGATCACGATTGATTTTATTATATAATAGTCTTCATATTTTAAACTTGACATTTTAACTGAAAAAAGTAATTATCTTTATAAATACACATTCAAAATTGAAAAATGAAACCATTTTATTGTTATGCCTCCATGGTATTTCCTTTCCATGTAACTAGATGAACTAAAATAATTATGTATATTGGTAAAACTGAAAAAGAGGCAGAGCAGTAGAAAGTTCATTTGACAGAAAAATGAGCATTTGTACATACACTTGAATGTAACAGCTCTTAGCGTTATTGAATTCACTTCAAACTGGGAACCAAAGCATGGCCTGTGGAACCTCAGCCTCTCTTTCACCCTTTTACGGAACCAAAGAGGTAGTTAAGCAAATGGGTTTTAGGTGACTTCTCCACATAAACACACAGAGGCAGTTGAGATATCAACTAAACTGTTACTGGGCACGTAAGATGCTGACTATTAGAAAACAGCACCACCTTTGTCCCATATACTCACAAAGTAGCTAATTGCACAGGACGACGCCAAGACAAGACATTTTGGGGAAAGCTCACTATCCTTGTCACAGAGAAGTGAGAATCATTTTAGCAGCAGTGAACATTTTAACTTAATTTTTTTCCCCTTAATGTTATTGTGGAATGTAGTTCTCCAAAATTACTTTTTGGGGAGCCATTTTTTGGTGCTTATTTTAAATCAGCCTAAACAGTTTCAGCAGTTGGTTTTATCATGAACTTTTATTTTAAACAAATATATTTTACTATGCTCCTTTTATATTCTGGCAACCAAATAGCATTTTATTGTGAGTAATGTAATTAATGGCTTAAAACCCTTCTAACTTGTGGAATGTTACCAAGTTGAGAAATTTGTACCATTCTTTCATATCAAATAATGAGTTCAGACAAACATTTGTTATTTTTGCTGTAGGAACAGGTGTGTTGAGCAATTTCCTTAACTACCAGTTAACTTATGTGTCCTGGATTATCTAGATTAGGTGATTGCTTTGTTCAGATAATCTAGATTTTTGCCATAAATTTTCTTCACATTTTGTTAAGTAAATGTACCTTTTTAATACCTGAGCTGTATATGTGAGAGTTGTTTACACATTATATTTTATATTATGCTCTGGCCATATGAAGGTAGGTTTCTTATCAAAACAGACTAATTTATTATAAGTGTAAGACTTTTACATAGAATATTAATTTGTTCATTAGAGCAATTTTCGTATTTTGTCTAGAGATATTTTTATTTTAACTTAAAGGCTGAAAATGAATAGACACTGCTTTCTATTTAATATACATGAGTGACACCAATTTGCACTGAAGCTAAGAACATTTTAACCTTAATTTTTATTTATTTTTTTTAAAGATTTTTATTGGGGAATTGAGAGATGGGAACAGTGCTGGGGAATTGGGGGAAGGGGAACAGACAAGTTGCTGTCCTTTTGTTCTTCAGTCTAGTTGTGGAGGATGTTGCTTCACTGGCCCAAGTTAGCACCATGGTTATGCTCTTCCCTAGTGAGGCAGATCAGTCGCTGGCTTCTGGATGGCCGCTCACAGCGGCTGCTGGCTGCTGGCTACACACGGTAGCCCATGGCAACCCACTGCAGAAGGGGCCGTAGCCTACGCTGTCGCCGGTGACTCATGGCAGCCCAGCTCCAGGTTGAGCTGCTGTTCAGCTAAGATGTGTAGAGGGCAGTGTCACTGGCCCTCATATGTGGGATCCGAACCGGGGCCCTCTGGCGTCCCAAGCCAGCTCTTAACCAACGCGCCACTCGGCCGGTCCTAACCTTAACATTTTAAAATGTAGTATCTTAAATCAGGTAGCATGGTTACTTTATAATATCGTGAACTTGAATTCCCAACTCTGGCATAATGGAAATCAATAACACATTTTAATTAATAGCAATCAGTAGCACGTTTTAATTATGCTTTCTACAGGAACTCTTAAGGCTGTGGAAGCATGAATGTAAACGTGTGATAGCTGATCGGTTCACTGTGTCCGATGATGTGACCTGGTTTGATAAGGCTTTAGTAAGTTTGGTGGAAGAGGAGTTTGGAGATGAGAAAAAACCCTTGGTGGATTGTGGAGTTGACGCTTATTTCGTGGATTTCTTGAGAGATGCACCTGAAGCTACAGGTAAAGTACTGAAGCAGAATTTGGAATTTCCCAAAGGGGCATCTGAAGACAAAGGGTTCAGTTTAGGAATGCTGAATTTCTGTCTAGTAAGCTTTATGGGAACAAGCCTGGCACATACTAGATGCTCAGTAAATGCAGGATGAGTGAATAATTGCATGGAGTTCAAAGATTAACTATTTTTTATGCATGTGAGTCTTGGATATTAAGGTGGAGTTGGGAGGCAGGATGTGTCAGAAGAAAGGGCACAGAACCTACGCCTGTCCCATGCAGGTAGAGCGGACAAAGGGATCTACCACACAGATTCCTGGACAAGTCTCTGCACTTTCTCAATCCTCATTCTCTTGATTTATAAAATCGGAAATATTAATATACACATCATGGGGCACTATGGGGAATAAACGAAATGTCATCTGTAGCATGGCTTGGGCAGCCTGTGGCTCACATCACTGCTGAGTGAAAGGTAGTAAAAATGATGATGATTATTATTCGGGTCATCCAAATTATTATTATTTGTGTGTTGAAAATAAAAAGAAAAACCTCAAATTATCTGAGAGAGCCATTGAATATAATTGGAAAGAGACAGGTGATGTGGAGGCAAGATTTTGTGGTTATGGCTCCATGAAAAATTGAGATGTATGTTTAACTTTTCTTATGAAAAGAAGTAGTGATTCAATTATTTTTCTTTCCTTAGAAATAACTGACCTTAAGTAGAATATTTTTCTTTCATTTAATGACCTCTTCTAACACTGAGGAGAATTTTAAGTTAATTTCCATATTTAAAAAGGCATGTTTAAACACATGCTATTTATATCTTCTAAATGACTGAAAACAACCAGGCAGCTCCTTACTAGCTTTAATAAGGTTGTGTGTGATATACCAAGTTTCTGAGTGACGATTATAAAAAGAGGTTTATTGCTGGCTATGCAGTTGGAATGATCCTTCCACAGAAAGAAGCTGACACATTTTATTTTAAATCAGGTCATACAAAAACAGAAATTATGTAAAGGTAAGAGCATTTGCAAGATGATTAGAATTTATTTCCTCTAATTTGGAAAGATAATTAGATTATGATTTTCAAGGAACAAAACACAGATGCATTTTTTTGGGGGAGGGGATGCATCTGGAGGCAAACATTTAATCTTTTATGACTTTAAATCACTTTGTTTCTCAAAGCTTGAGTTGAACATTTATGAAACAGTGATGTGACAATTGGAATTCAATTAGTGAGAGCTCTGCAGATAGGCTAAACAATGATTATATTAAATCAGTTTCCTTGCTTTGTCATAAAAAGGTTAATATACTATTCATCATATTAGGACAGGGTCAATTGAAAACTATTATGTACTATTAGATTTAGAAGATCTTCTAGAATCTAGTGAATTTCTAAGTTGTTATTAGTATATTCAATGAATGTGTCGGTTTTTTCCTGTTATTGTTAATTGATATTATATGTGCCCAATTTAGCTTTCTTTAGTATTATGCTTTATAGTCAAAGTAGGAAAAGTGTTAAGCCAGTACATTATGTGTTTCTAATTTTTTAAAAAATTATATTGATTTTAATACTTCCCCAGTAAACATAATTCAGTATGTTTATTTATTTAGAAAATCAGTTCTCTATTTTCTCTCAACCATCCACCTCCATCCCCCAAAATTCACTTTGACCCTCAGCACTATTCTGAAATTCCTGAATCTTAAAAATTTTCTAGGCAAATGTAGTGATCTTTTTGTTTTTCTTAAAAAATCATTTAATTCTTGACCTCTGTTGCTGAGTTTGACATTAAATCTCTGCTTTTTCGATCTTCGTTTTGAGGATGCTTGAAGTGCCAATGTTCAATTATGGATTCAAATTAAATTCAGTATTTATAACATTATTTGAAATTGGCTCTTTCTAGATAGGTAAGAACTAAGACTGCACATGGTCACAAACATTCTAATAGCTTTTACTATTATTGTTTTCTTTCTTTTCTAAAAATACGCAACATGACATTTGGATGAAAATCAGTATTTTTCAGTGTTAAATTGTAGAGCTATGAGTGTATCAGTTTAAGTTGAAGGAAGTAGTAAAGTCCAGTGATTTGAAGAAACGTAATGGACTCTTCTTCCCAACCCCAGGTGAAACCTCTGAGGAGGCTGATGGTGAGATGCCCAAAGTTTATGAGTCAGTTCAATCTTTTGATCACCTGAAGGAGCGTTTGAATATGTTCCTGCAGCTCTATAACGAGAGCATCCGTGGTGCTGGCATGGATTTGGTCTTCTTTGTGGATGCGATGGTCCACTTAGTCAAGGTCAGTGGTACCTCCCTAAGTGACAAGAGTCTTGGCTTCACACCAGAATTTACCCCTCGTCTTTCATTTTTATTTCCCAGGAGAATAGTCAGTTTAAAAATAAACCTGATTCTATAGTCTAATTTAATTTCTAAGCTGAATGCAATGTGTCACACATATAGGCTTAAAATCAGAGCATGTGGACTTCAAATGTGTGATATGATAATTTTATTCAGTGTTGCTCTACAGCTTCCAACTCGATATTTTCACTGCATAAAATGAATGTGACTGACATCAGAGTTCAAAGCACAGGCCAAAAGTCTGATTAATTTTTGCATCATTCAAAGGATTACTATAAAGTATAGTGCAAAAACTTTGAAGATGTTATGCTAAAGGAAATAAGCCAGTCACAAAAAGACAACTACTGTATGATCCCAGTTATATGAAATATCTAGAGGAGTCAAATTCATAGAGACAGAAAGTAGAATGGTGGTTGCCGGGGGTGGGGGGATGGGAGAATGGAGAGTATTTAATGGTACATTGTTAGTTTTGTAAGATGAAAAGGGTTTTGGAGAGGGATGGTTGCACAACAGTATGAATATGCTTAATGCCATTGAACTGTATGCTTAAAAATGGTTAAGATGGTAAATTTTATGTTATATGTGTTTTACTACAGTTAGAAGTAATAATTAAAACTTGTGCATAAACGATTGACTTAAAGCTGGATGAAAAGTCTGTTAGAACGAAATCCACCAGGAAAGTGCAGTTTCCTTTCTACTTTGTCATGAGTCATTACATTAGCCATCATTCATAAGACAGTTGATACTCAAAGGTTGGAATTAAAATATCTTATTTGCTTGATAACTTGCGTGACCTAATGTATCTGTGGTGGAAGATAATGAAATTTAAATTTTATTGTTGATGTTCTCACTTTGTTGATGTCAATTATGTTTTCAGACTATATCCTTTTAGCTAGCAAGAAGACAATTTGAGGCTGTCTCCCATTTTTAGGTTTAACCATAAGGCATGATCTCATAATTACCAATTTTCACCTATAATAACTACTGAATCTTAGAAATGGGGAGGGTTTTAGAGGTTATCTAATCAACTTTCTCTCTGAAAATGGAAGAGTGAGAGAAAGGCATTTCTTCAAGGCTGGAGTAAGTCTGGGAGAGGAAGGAAGACAGGAAACTTGCTCTGGGGTTGGGTCTCCCCAGCGTGAGGCATTTAACTTGAAAACTCTAAATTCTCCAGAACCTGAGACTTATGTACTGAATTATGAG